TGCCGAGCACCTTGCCCAGCTAATTTTTGTATTTTTCATAGAGATGGAGGTTTCACCATGTTGGTCAGGCTGCTCTTGAACTCCTGACCTCAGGTGATCTGCCCACCTTGGCCTCCCAAAGAGCTGGGATTACAGGCGTGAGTCACCGCGCCCAGCCTTCACAAACTAATGAAATATGTATATGTATATCACAATATCTGACTCCTCTCTTGGACAGAGAGGTCCACTAGGGCCAGCAATATACCCATTTCTTTTTCTTTTTTTGACACTGGCTCTCCTTCTGTCACCCAGACTGGAGTGCAGTGGCACAATCATGGATCACGGCAGCCTCCACCTCCTGGGCTCAAGCAATCCTCCCATCACAGCCTACAAAGTGCTGGGACTACAGGCACATGTCACTATGCCTGACTAATTTTTGGATTTTTTTTGTAGAGACGGGGGTCTCCCTATGTTGTCCGGGCTGAGGAGTGTACCTGTTTTACCTGCTACGCTATCACCCTAGCCCAGTCCAACACTAATAAAACAGACACAGGCTGGGCACAGTGGCACATGCCTGTAATCCCAGTGCTTCGAGAATCTGAGGTGGGAGAATTGTTTGAGCTCAGCAGTGGGAGACCAGCCTGAGCAACACAGCAAGACCTTGTCTCTAAAAAAGTAAAAACAAAACCCCAAAAACCAGACAGACAAGACAGACAGACACACACACACCCAAAATGGTCAAAATACAACTTGTGAGGCTGGGTGTGGTGGCTCATGCCTGTAATCCCAGCACTTTGGGAGGCCGGGGTGGGCAGATTATGAGGTCAAGAGATCGAGACCATTCCTGGCCAACATGGTGAAATCCTGTTTCTACTAAAACCACAAGAAAAATTAGCTGGGCATGGTGGTGCATGCCTGTAGTCCAAGCTACTCGGGAGGCTGAGGCAGGAGAATTGCTTGAACCTGGGAGGCGGAGGTTTCGGTTAGCCGAGATCTCACCACTGCACTCCAGCTTGGCAACAGAATGAGACTCTGTTAAAAAAAAAAAAAAAAAAAAAAAAAAAAAAAACTTATGGACCTACTTTTTGCAGTATTTCATTCTTTTTTTTCTCTCTCTCTCTTTTTTTTGAGACAGAGTCTTGCTCTGTCACACAGGCTGGGGTACAGTGGGGCAATCTTAAATCACTCACTGTAACCTCTGCCTCCCGGGTTCAAGTGATTCTCCTAGCTCAGCCTCCTGAGTAGCTGGGACTACAGGCATATGCCACCACTCCTGGCTAATTTTTTTTGTATTTTTAGTAGAGATGAGTTTCATCATGTTCACAAGCTGGTCTAGAACTCCTGACCTCAGGTGATCTGCCCACCTTGGCCTCCCAAAGTGCTGGGATTACAGGCCCCGGCCATCATTTGTTGACTATCTAGTGACTGGGCATCCATGAGTCAGGCACTGCTGTTGGTGCTGGGATGGCAGCCATGAATAAGGCTGGCGTCAGGCGTCTTGTATATATGTCCCATGCTGTATCTATTTTTTTTTTTTTTTTTTAGATAAAGTCTTGCTCTGTTGCCCAGGCTGCAGTGCCGTGGTTTGGTTATAGTTCCCTGCAGGCTTGAGATCAGGGGCTCATGCAATCCTCCTGCTTCAGCCTCTTGAGTAACTGGAACTACAGGCATACACCTTCAAACCTGGCTAATTTTAAATTTTTTCTTTTGTTGAGATAGGGTCTTGCTATGTTGCCGAGGCTGGCCTTGAACTCCTCCCACCTCGGCCTCCCAAAGTGCTGAGATTACAGGTGTGAGCCACCACTCCTGACCTCAGCACCGAGTTGACCAACAGGAGGCAGGAACTGGTGGCTAAATATTCCCTCCTTCGGTCTTGCATTCTGTGCAGTTCCTCGGGGTCCTCTGTGGCACTACGCTCCAGTTGTTCACAGAAATTTCATATCCTCGGACTTGCTCTTTCCTTCCTGTTTCATTCTTCCCAGTCCCAATTTCTTTTTCCACCCATATCCCACGGGATCATTTCCCAAAAGAAAGTATCTGCCCATGAGTCTTTCTCCAGCGCTGCTTTTAGGGGGAACCCCAGCTGATATAGCTAGCCTTTTCATTGCTTTTGTTGGGTCACTTTCAACATTTCCACCTCGGGTCTACGGGTGCGCTTTTCTTTCCTAACAGGCAGGGATCGGATACTCTATTTTGTATTTTCCCACAGTTACTAACGAGGGCTGGCAAATGCAAATAAACCTAGATTAATTTCAATTTGATTCAACAAAAGGAGAGAGTACAGTGGCTATCCGTGGCTCACGAGAGGCCAGTTGCTTCTGCTGCCAGGACCTCTGTGTGATACTGCATAAAGCGGGGACTTGCCGGGGCCGTGACTGTTTTCCCTTCTTGAATCCATCCTGCTTCCCTCCCAGGTTCCTGTTCCACTGGCTTCCAGCAGCAGCAGGCCAGCAGCCGCTCCAAGTAGCTCATCAGCTCAGGCAGGTCCAGAGTTGGGGCTGTCACTGGGCCCCCGCCTGCCATCTGCTTCCTCCGAGCTGGGAGTAGGAGAGGGAAACTGGCCCCTACTCCTTGGGAGCAGAATCCAGATGCCTGTCATCTGGCACCACAGAACAAAGCAGGGACTCTAAAGAGTGAATGACTTCGAAATTTTCTAGCAGCCTTAACTGAATCTCAGGGGTCTGGGGAGTGGCAGGCCGCTGGTAAAGGTGCAAAGAGAGTGGAACATATTTGGCAGACAAGTGGTAGTTACAGGTCTACCGCTAATTTGATGCTCCTGTGGACACACACTACTTTTCTGCCCACAGTTTCCTGAAAATGAGCAGGTTAGACCAGATGATCTCAAAGAACCCCCAGCTCTAGGATTCTTAAATTACAGTGCTGGAATGAATCTGATCTGTCAGTTATACTTCAGATAGTCTAATTTTTTTCTTGAGAGCCTTCACTGCGGGTAACAGCACCGTGTCTATTCTGGATCCGCTATGAGAGCTCTGGCGTATCTGTTCTGGCATGCTCCCGGATGCTGTGCCCATTTACATATGGTTTTTTTTGTAATTGAAAATGATTTTTTTGGTAATTAAAAATTGTATTGAGATAATGGTAGGTTCACATTCAGTTGTCAGAAATCGTATGTTTGGCCTAGTTTTCCCCAATGACAACATTTTGCAAAACCTCAATATTCTATCATATACTAGCATAGTGGCCTTGATGCAATTTACCTATCTTATTCAGATTTTCCCAGTTTTCCTCATACTCATTTGCATGTGTATTAAGTTCTAGATTTTATTTTGTTTCACATTTTATCACCTGTGCTGCCATAATCAAGACGTTTAAGAGTTCCAAAGTCACAAGGATCCCTTGTGTTCCCTTTTATATCATCCCTGCTTTCTCCCCTCCTTACTTCATCCCCCAACGGGATGGATTTTCCAAGTCTTTTTATTTGGAAATAAGTTCAAACTTACAGAAATGTTTAAGTACACCCCATATGCAGCTTACCTTTATCGCCCACTTCGCTTTATCATTTTTCTTATCAAGATTTTTTTCCCTTGAATCATTTGAAGGTAAGCTGCATATGCTATGACCTTTCTTACAAGATGCTTCGGTGTGTATTTCCTTAGAATGAGATATTTTTGTACATAACCATGGTAGAAGTTATCAACGTCAGTAAGTTTAGCATTGATCCAACGCTTTCATCTATTCCATGTATTCTGACTTGGTCAGCTGGCATGCTGGTGAAGCATCCCCTCCTCTAGCACAGGATGCAGTCTGGATCAGGCATGGCATTTAGCTGCCCCGAGTCTTTAGCACCCTTTACTCTGGAACACTTCCCGATGTCCTGGATTGTCAGGACCCTGGCATTTCTGCACAATGCAGCCCCTTCCTCTTTTTAATGGATGGGCCTTATTCGGGGCTGTCTGGTGTTTCATCACACGATTCAGAGGATGCGCTTTCCCCGGGATACTGCGCGGCCGATGTGGACACGAACTCCTTCTGCTCTCACCGGCGGTGGAAATGTGGACCACCGGTCACGGTGCGGCCTGCCTGCCGCCTTGGAGAGTTCCAACTTCCGCTCTTGCTACGAACAGGTCTGAACCACCTACGGGGAGACACGTCGGCCCAGGCGAGTGTCTGCAGCCGGTCAGCGCCCCTCGAGTCAGCGCCCACGACGGTTCCTACCGGAGCCGACCTCCAGCACGCACCGGATCATCGCTCCGAGTCAGGTCGACGCCACGTGAGAAAGAAGCTTTCGTGGCGTTCAGTGTCCTTACACCTTTGGATCCGGTCTGAGCCTCCGGGTCCTCCCCACCCCCCCGGGACCCCTGGGCAGAGAAGTCGTCGACTCGGCAGCCTCCGCTGGAACCGCGATCCTGCGGGTCGCTCCCGGTTAAACCGTCCACAAGTGATTTGCATAAGAGGGTGGCCTGCGAGCCGGACTTCCTGGGTCGATTCCTGACTCCCCCGTGCTGTCCCCCGCCCGCACCGCCGCACCCTTGGGTTGCATCTTGCCCCGAACGCCATCCCCGTCCCCCGCAGCCTCCTCCCCGCCCAGCTCATCTTCCTCCATTTAAACCCATAGGCGTCTTTGCCCTGCGGGGACAGAGCGGCTGGATCTCCACGGCGCTCGCGACCCTCAGCGCCCGGACTCGGGAGGGAACCGCTCCGGGCGGGCGCGATCAGCTTTTCCGGGTGTGGGTCCCGACCGGACGCTCCTCTGCACCCCGCGGCGCGGGTGACAGTGCAGGGCCGCCGCGGGCGAGGGACGGGCGCGGCTCCGGGGACCGGGACGAGGCCGTGGGCATCCCGGAGGGCGGCGCGCAGGTGGCGGCGCGGGCCGCGGGCGGGGCCGGAGGGGGAGGGCTCGGCGCGCGTCGGGCGGTGACGGCAGCGCGGAGGGAGGGGGTGGAGCCGCCGCGCGCGGGGTAGCCATGGCGAGAGGCCGCGCCGCGCCGCCCGTATCGGAGCCCGCGCCCCCGCCCGCCGCCCCCTGGCCCGCGCGCCCGCCGCCCCCGCGCGCCCGCAGCCCCTGCAGCCCCCTCAGCCCGTGACGCCCGCGCGCCGCGAGCCAGGCCCCCCCCGGAGCGGGGCCACAGGCGGGAGAGCCCGGGCGCCCCCGAGCGCCCCTGGAGCCCCGCACGCCCCGACGACCCCGCGGTCGGAACCCGGACCCGAGCCCAGGAGCGCCCGGGCAGGCGTAGCTGACCGGACCCGACCCCCGGCCCCCGAGTGCCGGAGCCGCCCGGCGGGCTGCAGCGGAGGGAACTGGAGCCGCCGGGCGGCGGGGGCCGGGCCGAGAACGACGCGGAGGCGGCGTAGGAAGAGCCGAGCGCCCGGCACCCCCGAGCCCCAGGACCGCGCCTCCTGCGGGTAAGCCGGGGTCCGCCCTCCCGCCGCCGCCTCGGGCCGGGGATGGGGGACGCGGCGTCCGGAGTGTCCGCGTGAGACCGGGGCGGCGGGAGAGGCCGGGACCCTGCGGGGACGCGCTCCTGGCGCCCCTGCCGCACCTGCCCGCGGCCCTCGGACCCGGAAAAGTGCCCCGGGGCTTCGTGTGGGCCCCGCCGCGTGGCCTGGATCCGCGCCCGGGCTCTGCGAGGTGACAGTGAGGCGACCTTCAGAGCGCGCGGAGCGGCCAGGCCCGCGCGCGGGCAGCACCCGGTTCCCACGCACCCGCAGGGCGTGATGAAAACGACACCCTCTGAGTGTGTAGACACAGACGTGCGTTCAGAGCCCGCTTTGCGCCCTTGAGAGCCAACGAGTTCACTTCCTCACTCTTCTGAGTTGATTTTTAAAGTTCTTTTCTGGTCTCCAAGGTCAGCCTCTTGCAGGTAAAAATAAATGCGGTGAACCCGCATCGGCTCTGCTTTTGTAAAGTTGTGTTTCAGGAAAGATGTCAGAAGTCGACCTGTCCCGAGGCTGGCGCTGGGCGCGCCTCCGCTTTCAGCTTCCCGGTTTTAGACCCTGGGCTGCGCTTGTGCAGACTCTGAAATTAGCCTCCGAGGTATTCGTCATTGGACCGCTGATTTTTTTTTTTTTTTTTCACCACAACTTTATTTGCTTCCAAGGTGTGAACGTTGTTGGTTCCGTCTGTGAGTGTGTATCGGGGTCGGCCACCTTTCCTGGAGGGTCTTTTGTTTATCTGGAAGGGAGGTGGAGGTTACCATACGGAAACGCTCTCGTTCCACGGCCCTTTCCGGTTTCCAGCTACCAGAGCAGCGAAGAGGAAGGCGCTCAGGCCGAGCTCTGGTTACCCCTGGGGCCAGTCCACTGGGGACGGTCTCCCGGGTGGAGTGGGGAGACCACAGGCTGGGAGCTGGACCCGTAGGCTTGGAGACGTGGGCCTGGAGTGGCAGATGGCGCCTTCCCCTCTGTCTCTGTTTGGAATGATCATGCTCGGTTGCTCTTTGATCTTTGACCTCCGCTTTGTCAAGAGGTTCCCAGGCCAGTGTAGTCTAGGCCAGCTGGAGAGCTAAGCCGGGCCCTGGGGGATGCTGAATTGGGCTAAAGCCCTTGTCCCAGGACGGCGAGTTTGGCAAGATTTGGATTTCAGCTTGGCCCCAGCGCCAGCTGCTTCCTGTTTGATGCCCCAGGGACCAGTTTCCCATCCTCAGCGCTCGGCTCAGGGTGTCTCCGCCCTGGCTGTGTGGCCTCTCCTCTCTGGTCCTGGAGTGGGAAACTTGGACTGAAATTCCAACCCCTCTCTCTTTATTGGCTGTGTGACCTTACTTAACCTCTCTGCCCTGCTCTCCCCTCTCTGGGAGACACTGTTTTAAATGCAAGTGTCTGTCTGTAAAAGTTCGACTGAATGACATGGGAGCGCTTTCAGGTCTCATTCCAACATGATTCGGTTTGTAATTTGGTAACCTTTTTGAGCCTTAGCAGGGATAATAAAGCATGTAACAGTAATTATCGTTTTATAGGTTTATTATGAGGGTCAAATCAGGTAATATAAAAGGGCTTTGGGCCGCGTGTGGTGGCTCACGCCTGTAATCCCAGCACTTTCGGAGGCCGAGGTGGGCAGATCACTTAAGATCAGGAGTTCAAGACCAGCCTGGTCAACACGGTGAAACCCTGTTTGTACTAAAAATACAAAAATTAGTTGGGCATGGTGATGGGCACCTGTAATTCTAGCTACTTAAGAGGGCAAGGCAGGACAATAGCTTGAACCTGGGAGGCGGAGGCTGCAGTGAGCCAAGATCACCCCACTGCACTCCAGCCTAAGTGACAGAATGAGACTCCATCCAAAAAAATGGGGGGAGGGGGCTTTGAAAATATTAGAGCACTATTCACATTGAAAGGAGTTCTTAAACTTTCACTCTCCAGACTTTTAAGGTTTACCGTCTTAAGTGGATTTTGTTCCTGTCATTGCGTTCTTTTTTTTTTTTCTTTGAGTGTCACTCTGTCACCCAGGCTAGAGTACAGTGGTGCGATCTCGGCTCACTGCAGCCTCTGCCTCCCGGGTTCAAGCAATTCTTCGGCCTCAGCCTCCCAAGTAGCTGGGATTACAGGTGCCTGCCACCACGCCCAGGTAATTATTATATTTTTAACAGAGATGGGGCTTCACCATGTTAGCCAGACTGGTCTCACAGTGTTGGCCTCAAGTGATCTGCCTGCCATGACCTCCCAAAGTGCTGGGATTACAGGTGTGAGCCACTGCTCCCAGCCCTCAGCGTTGCATTCTGAGTCCCTGCCTCTGGCCTTGTATGTAGTAAGCCTCTGTAATTGACGATTCTTGAATTAAACATCCTGGCGCCCCATCTTGACTCTGTGCGCTCAAGGTAGAGAACAGACCTTGGGCATTCTCCTCTCAGCTGTCAGAGTTTTTATAGTTATGATTGTTCTGTTGCATCGTACAGCTCATAAGAGAGCCAAGGAGAATAAGTAGATAGGTGGCCAGTTTTTCTACAAGGGACAGTTCTTTTTTTTTTTTTTTTTTTTTTTTTTTACAAGGGACAGCCCTTTGGGGCTCAAGTGAGAAAGGCGAGGGTGAACAGTTCATTTAAACTCACTGAGGGTTGCAGACATTCAGTAAAGCCTTTTGTGCATGCCAAAGTTTAACACTGTATGATTGGAAAGTTTGATAAACTTGTGGTAATGTTACCATGACCAGCCTCTTCACATATATGATTCTGTGATCCTTGGTTTTGAAAATGGGCTCTGATCACTGGGCACAGGGGTTCACATCTGTAATCCTAGCACTTTGGGAGGCTCAGGCAGGTAGATTGCCTGAGCTCAGGAGTTCAAGACTAGCCTGGCCAACAAGGTGAAACTCCATCTTGACTAAAATACAAACAAATTAGTAGAGCTTGGCCTGCACCTGTAACCCCAGCTACTTGGGAGACTGAGGCCAGAGAATTACTCCCAGGAGTTGGAGGTGCAGTGAACTGAGATGACACCATTGCACTCCAGCCTGGGTGACAGAGTGAGACTCTGTCACAAAAAAAAAAAAAAAAAGAAAAAAAGAGAAAAGAAAGAAAGAAAATGGACTCTAATCTATTTAATTCATCTATATTTGGCATGCACTGTCATTTTTGTAGGGGGAAGACAAGAGGATGCTCTTTTAAAAAGATGAAGATGTTAGGAGGAAAACTGGGTCTGCATGAACTCAAGGGCTCCTGTGGCTTCTTAGGTTTTATTTTATTCTTGGAAAGAGATACACTGTTGTTTGACAGAGTTACACTGTTGAATGAATGGGTCTTCTGGCTTCTCACCTCCCTTTTTCCCCTTCTTTTCAAACAAATGTTCCCTATTCTGACTTGTCTTCTTAGATGTATCTAAATGGAGGCCACTTTCAGTGTTGAAAAGTGCAAAGTTTTAGTGAAGAGACAGTAAATAATTGCATATGTGTGAAACTGGATGTCTCCTGAGTTACATAGAATACCAGTGATGTGTAGCTGCTTAAAGAAAGGCTGTGACAGGTGTTTTATGCACGTCTGTGTAGTAGTATTCTTTATAGTGAGACATTTATTTAATTATTGTTAATAGTGCACCTGAGGTGGAAGAGGGGTGAGTGAGTGGGAGGGGAGCTCTTGAAATCTTTGTTTGGTCTATTTTTTTTTTTTTTTTTCAAAATATATTGTTTTTATTTTATAGTACTGTTTCTTGTGGAGCAGGGCTAACTCGTGGGCAGTGTGCCCACGGTCGGCCTGTTTGGACTTCATTACTTTTTTTTTTTTTTTTTTTTTAAACAGAGACAAGTTGTTATATAACAGATGAAGCTGGGAATAGCCCTTCCTAGAATGCCGAGGTGGGAGGATCATTTGAACCCAGGAGTTCAAGACCAGCCTGGGCAACATAGTGAGACCTCATCATTCCAAAAAAAAAAAAAAAAAAAATTAGCCAGGTGTGGTGATGTGCACCTGTAGTTTCAGCTACTAGGGAGACTGAGGTAGGAGGATCTCTTGAGCCCAGGAGGTTGAGGCTGCAGTGAGCCATGACTGCAGCATTGTACTCTAGCTAAGTGACAGAGTAAGACCCCCATCTCAAAAAAAAAATAATAATAATTGCTATCTGATCAAAAAAAAAGTGCTTTTTTTGTTTGTTTTGTTTTTTATTTTTTTATTTATTTATTTTTTATTTTTTTTTAATATTTTTTTTGACACGGAGTTTCACTCTTGTTACCCAGGCTGGAGTGCAATGGTGCGATCTAGGCTCACCGCAACCTCTGCCTCCTGGGTTCAGGCAATTCTCTTGCCTCAGCCTCCTGAGTAGCTGGGATTACAGGCACACGCCACCATGCCCAGCTAATTTTTAGTATTTTTAGTAGAGACGGGGTTTCACCATGTTGACCAGGATGGTCTCGATCTCTTGACCTCGTGATCCACCCGCCTCGGCCTCCCAAAGTGCTGGGATTACAGGCTTGAGCCACCGCGCCTGGCCTGTTTTGTTTTTTAAAGTAGAGACGGAGTTTCGTCGTGTTGGCTAGGATGGTCTCGATCTCTTGACCTTATGATCCACTCTCCTTGGCCTCTCAAAGTGCTAGGATTATAGGCATGAGCCACCGTGCCCAGCCTCCAAAAAGTACTCTTAAGGAAAATGTACCTTATTTTCTCTGAGGTTCTGTGGACTCCCCAGCATAAGCACATGTACCCCAGTTTGGGAATCTTGGGTCTGTATTATTTCTAGGGTCTCTGCTAGTCCCAGAAGATAATCTGTCTAGAGGAAATGAATTTTGTACTAACTTCCGACAAGGATGCTCCGTCACAGTATAAATTATCCACATTTGAATGTTAAATAAGACCATGCTGTGGGTACCCAGGTGACTTAAAAATTTTTTTTTTTTCTTTTAAGAAGTAGGTGAAAATAACTGTGAACATGTGGACTAAGTGGCTTGGCATTTTCTGAAAGTGTCTCTTTAGCATCCTATTCAG